CAGCAGGATATTCTGAGGCCAGACGTGTGACAGAAATCTGTGAAGCATTCAGACAAGGGGTGGCGTCTGGGTAGAACATGCGGGAGGCAGGAGGCAACGTATAAACTGTTCTGCTGAGATCACGTGTTTTTCTCTACAGCTCATCAACTCTGGCATCAGCACTTATTACCAAAATCTCCTCTTTTTCATCCATAGATATTTGTATTCTGAGAAACGTCATCCTCTGGATAATATCCTGCTGCTTTCTCACATGGATTTACATTATCCTGAATTTTTACGAGGGAGCTGGCAGCAGAAACTCCAGGGGTGTTCGCAACAACAAACTTGGATATTTGCGTTCTTGCATAGAGCCCCTCCGGATAATTGCACGAGATTATCTGGAGTTCAATGCATGTGTGAAAGCAGCTTACATGTGCATGCAGGACCCAGTGTTGACATGCCAGGATTTTAAGCAAAGGGGGACCTCAACTGTGACGGCCCTCTCTGTCCCATCACACAGACACCAACAGAGCAGAGAAGCCAACTCCCACAAAAAGAAACAAAAACAACTGACCACACACCCACTGCAGTCTGTAAGGGTTTCCTTGGTAATGTAAGTTGCCTACACTGAATGTTTATGAGCTTATTGTAAGCAGCCCCCCCCCACACACACCAAGCTAAGAACAAGAAACATCAATGCTTTCATTGTATAACGCTCATCCGATCGACTTCAGACTTGTCAGGCGTCTTGCTGAGGATTCAGTGTCGACTTCATTTTTTTGGAAGAAACTTTCAAGAAAACTGTGAACTGGATTAACATAGACAGAGAAATCAGTGCACACCAACAGAAGCAGCATTAATGCATAAAACTAAAAGATGCTGTTGGGATTCATTTGTATTTCACACGCTGGCTGTTGTATTAGTGGAGAAGAAAATGATGTTTGACGAAGCAGAGAAGCGCACTAATCTACAGCTCTGCAGCCATTTTCAGACAGCTTAACCTCTCTATAATCACTCTGAACTCTGGACACTGACTTCTAAACACAGACTGAGATTAGCCGACCATCACAGACTAATAGCACAACTAGGAAAGCTATGCCACAATAAGCTGTTCAAACGCCCCATGTCCCTTTTTAAGAAGACACAACAAAGGGAAAAGAGCACCACACATCAGACCGACACAGAAACAAGACCCCGAGCAACGTCTCTGCTCAGGAAGTTTACAATCTCGTGGAGACAGCTAATTACCCTGGACGTCCATGTGTTTCTCATGGAGGGTCCTGTCCTTGGAGCGCTCACACACTCGGCCAGGAGTGAGCGGCACAGCTGGTCTTGATGACTCCAGCGCTCCTGTGTTTGAAGGCTGAGCTCAGATAACTGCTGGTCTGGTCTGTTAGTGTGCATCTGAAATTACACCTCTACCTTTCCCAGAGTGCTCAGGCCCACGCGGTCCCTCCACTGTAGCTCAACGTGTACAGTCTGGAACAGATACAGATGAAACTCTACCTCCAGCTCTGTCCAACAGTAAGATTATATAAGAATTTTAGGATTAAATAAGAAGAAGATGGATGGAATGAAAACTTCTGCAATTTGATGAGCAGATGTGAGATGATGGACCTTAACTTATGATAATGTGAATTTAGATGTTTGTGGTTAACAACCTACAGATAATAATCTCCTGAATATGCAGCCCCCCATAGCTTTACTGAGCTCTGTTTCAGCTCATTGTCTTGCTGTCTGGTTCCAAACTTCACTTTCAATCAATGTCACCGCTTTGTTTCTGGGGCCTCTAAAGGCTCTAAAAGACCCACTGCACAGTTAGAGAGAAGCTGGTCAACAGAGTGAAGCATCTCACAGTTTAAGAGGCAGATATATCCTGTCACAAGTTGGTGGAGACTCAACACGGAGCAAAAAGAGGGTGAATATTTAACTTGGATTCACCATAGTTCACAGATTAACGATATATTTTATTATTTTAAAAAAAGGACACAGATATGTGTGTTAGAACTTCATTTTGTGTCCTGGAATTTATTTTCAATTTCCTCCCAATGCTGTAGGATCAGGTTCTGGTTCAGATTCACTGTCATTTCACCACATGTACATGGCACACATCAGCCAGTAAAACTAAATGATCTTCCTAATGGGCCCCATAGTGCAACATAGAACAGACATTAGGGACTCATCCTGTAAATACTAACACTCCATCTCAATGATTTGTGAGACTTCAGAGAGTAACTGCACATTTTCAGATTTTTTCTGTATCTTTTTTAACTAATGTGAACACAGGAATTGAATGAATCATTAAATATGGGGATTTATATTAAGCTCCATCTGACTGTCTCTCCATGTGACTCTGTTCCTCATAAATCACTTCCATGCCTAGACTTCCTCTGGTCAGTCGTTCAGTTTCACCCTGATCTGCGGTCATCTTCGCTGACGGTAATTACGTATTCCATCAGTTAGCGTTTTTAGAACTTCCTTACTGCTATTCTGTGCTGCTTAAAAAAAGAAAATCAACCTCCACACAGTTGCTTTCAACCCACTGACTGACGTGTTTGTTTGCACTGGAACAAGAGAGCAACAAAGCGAGAATGAAAATTCTCACACCGTTTGCAGGGAACTGACATGGAAGGTCCAGTGCTCTTTTCTTCCTTGTTGTTTTATTTGTCCACATATATCGCTGAGTAAATCAATTCAACAATAATATGGATTTGAATTAACCATGAACATACAAAATCCTCCACATTGAGCTGCATAACAACAATGTTCTTCCAGGGTCTGGGGTCATTTCTTTGAGATAGTGAAAGTTGTTCTTGTTATTTGTAATATTTGGAAATAATGCTTTATGTCTTGTATTACGCAAGTTCCTAATTGTAAAATATGGGAAGCTTGTAAATATTAGTCTGCAGATAAATTATCTTTTTTCCTTTCATGTTTGGAGAAGCCCATGGCTCTATGGGACAAGACCATAGACTCCATATAAAGATGGACGATGCATCTCCACATCAACATGTAAAAAAAGTTAAGCTAAAATATCCTGGATACCGGTGTCCCCATTTGTAGCCAGAGTCTGCGCAGTAGCGAACAGGGGATGGAGCAACAGCGACAAAGTCCGGCCAATACACACGTGATCATTTGTGAGTCAGTCTCAGATGTCAGTCATGATGTTTCAGCCCATTTTCATAGCATTGAGAACTAATTACAACCAAACTTCCCAGAAAAATTTAAACTGGAACAACCGTCAGTGTGATGAGGACAACATATAATGACAGAACTGATGGAACAACTCTGTCCTGTCTGCTTATACTGTATGTAGGTGGGTTTTATGGTCTGTACTGCAATAAAAAATAAAAAATACACTACCCACGGAGTTTCACCATGATGGTAGAAAAACCAAAGTGAAAAAAACATTGTTCTTGCACACACCTGTACTGTGTCTGCACACACTGGGAGAGTCTGCACTATGAAAAAAAAAGTTCATCAAGTGACAGTTAGCACATTCATCATGATGCATTGTTGAAGTGGGTAATTCACTTACTATCAAAGAAAATACCCTGATAAAGACAAGTTATTTACTCTTTGTTTTATATATTTAAGTGCATCTTTAAACACAAACGTCCGTCCTCCCAACAACCTCGGGAAACCAGTGAGCACATAATTATTCAGCAGCCGCACACAAACAAAAAAATTACACTCTTCTGATGCAATGTCATGTTAACCTAGAGAGATGATTTCCATTTTCCTCCCCTCACTGTTTACGCTTCCTGCACAGGGAAGACAATAGAGGAGAACAGACCTGCCTTTGATTAAAGTGGACTACACAGAAGTGTGAAGGAATATGTGTGTGTTCTCTTTACTGTAATGAGTTTCTGCCTCCTCTCCACGGCTGCCAAAAAAATCCCAAACAGCTCCAGAGCGACAAACTTCCACTTTCCCTGTGCTGATGTGAGACAATTCCCTCCACTTCAAAGACATCACACTCCCCACAGAAAAAGAAAACACTTAATTGCCCTCGACACTTTCCTCCATTTCTTTTAAAAGCTTTTAATCTCCTCCATTGTGTGATGCCGAGGTGATTGGTAACGTAACACCTTGTAACACCAGTGTTTAATATAAAACACAAAGGGTGTTGGAGCCAAGATGGTATCTTGCTCTTTCCAGTTGAATTGCTGCAAACAAAAACGTCTGCTCCAGCTTTGAAGCCGGGCTGCAGGTAAGAGAATTGTATTGGTGCAAAATAAACAAATTTCAGTGAGCGGTCTCTTAACATTACAGCAGCACAGATATGATTAACTATATTGCACAGGAGCAGATAATGGAACTGAACTCTACATGCAATTATCTCCTGTTAAACACCAAAATGATTGGGCTACAGGAATTTAAGTTGGGGGTTAAAAGGGACAAATCATATTATTTTGATTGATTGATTGATTGATTGATTGATTCACTTGGTGGCAGTTTTTTTCTGCAGGTTCCTGTTTCCCTGCTTCACCATGTGCATGAAGTCAAACACAGTAGGGTCAAGGGAACAATACACCTCTGCATCTCCTCAAGTTGTGGAGCAGCGTGCAGGCCTGTTTCCACTGTTCTCGCTGTGAATGAACTCCTCAGTGTGCAGGAACCCGGTTTTCTTGCAAACTACTCAATGGCAGGCTGCAGCAGAGCCTCCTCGCATCGTGAACTCTGCTCCATGTGTCACCAGAGCCCCTTCACGTTGGTTAAACCCATGTTTTGAGGGTGCAAACCTTGCAGAACCGCGCGTAATCTCAATGATTCCGCTGCTGCTGGTTTGAGCTCCCTATGATGGACACGGTGATCCGGTGGGGACAAAAGATTGTTTTCTGTTTTCCTGCCACATTTCTCATCAGCAGGTTTAGATGGTGATACAAAAATAAACCTTTAAACACAGAGTCGTTGTGTGGGTTCGTGCGCGCACGTCCTCCCGCCTGTGCTGCACGAAGCGCTCCGGAGAACATGCAGATCTGTGTGGACATGCTGCGGGAGAGCGAACAAAGCCTTACCTAGAAACTGTGTCGGTCCTCGGTGGGTGATGCTGCTGCTGCTCCGGCTGCTGCCCGGCGGTGCATGTTTAGCTCCGGTTCGCCTGGTTGCAGAGCGAGCATGCAGCCGTGGTTTGGACCGCCTCGGCTCGCACTGTTGTCTGTGAAGATATCATCCGCTGGTTGGAGCTGTGTGTGTGTGCGCGTGTGTGTTGTCTGTCACATTGTTGCTGGCCTTTTTCTCACATCCACATCTGAACATGGGGGGCGGAGTCAGGCAAGACTGATTTTTTTTCTCTTTTTTTTTCAACAGTGAGGGACCAAGGTGGCTTACTGAGCCTGATGGGTAGGATGGAAGGAAGGAAGGATGGAAGGAAGGAAGATAAGTGTATAAATATTAGATTTGGTTCCTTCCTGACATAGATCTGTCAGCGACAGAGTGGAGGAAGGAGGGAAAGGCATGTAGCCTGTATTAGGACCAGGCAATAATAACTATTATTATTATTATTATTCTACCTTTATTTATATATCAGCTTTCAAAAGCAGCAGTTACAAAGTGCTTAAAAAGAGAACGATTAAAAACAAGAAAACAAAAGCTATAAACAAAATGTTACAGCTGAATGCCTCTCGCCTCACCCTTCTCTTCCAAGCATAAAGGAGAACCTGTGGTTGCCTTCAGTTGTAATAACAACTCAAAAAGTTTCTCCAGTCTTGGGTAGTGTAAAAAAAAATTGGCGGTATATGTATGGTAGAAACTGAAACTGTACAAAATAAAGAGGTTACTGTTCTTCAACCATCGTAGCCAGTTACAGACTTAAACATACCTACAAGTTCTACCAACATTTCCTATCATCCTTTGACATTCAAGGGGTTAATCATACTGGCTTCACAGAAGAAGTGAGTCAGACATGACATGTCTGTAATAACAGCTGAGGAGAAAGAACTGAACTCTGTAGATGTTTTTAGATAGAAAATTACATAGGCTTCAGTTTCCTACAGCAACTTGTGCCGGGCAATTTGTCAGCTCCAGGAACATAAAGAAATGCTGAATGAAAATACACTGAGTCCCAGACGCTAGTGGAACAGAGGCTAGTCTGGACAAGACATCATGACTGAGTGGCAGGCAAAATGTTGGTATGTGTTTGAATATTGGCTTTTTCTCCCAAAAGGTTGGTCATCTCATCAGCATGATCAGTTTGGGCTACTATGCCAGAAGGAAGATACCAGCACTGCCTTCAGAAGCAGGAGTGGGGGGAACTAAAGGCTATATATCACACAAACTACTGCACCAGACCTGGAATACACACACACACACACACTACGCACAACTATTAGCTGACAACAGAACTCCTAGCCTTGAGGAGCAGGGGAGTTAAATCAGTAAAACCGTCCTCAGGTCAGTTCTCCCCAGATTGTATCAGAGCGTTTGAAGCTCAGCCTGAGGTACAACACGTTAGAACATGTTTATACTAATGGAGACAATGAATACGAGGCTGAGCCCTGGCTTTATCTACAGCAGTCTGACCACCTCGCTTTGTTCATGTTGCCAGCTTACAAGACTCTCATGAGTTAAACCATCTCACAGACATTCTTGAGTTTGGCCCTTTCACTACTGCCTTAAATTAAATTTGACAGTGATGAGGTGTGTACCAGTCCCAACAGACAGCCTGCACCTGAGCACAACTGTTTACAAATGGACCCTGAATTTTACAGTCACCTGGCTGTGGTGTGGCATCAGTCAGGTTTCTCCAGAATTACCTTTACTCTCTACTTGTTGAAATAACAAACACCCTCATCAAGTTCAAAGACAACACAACCATCACTGACCTGAATGCCAACAATGAGTCAGCACCAAACACTCAGGCTCTTCACAGGAAAATCAACCAGGTTGTTGAAATCGTAGATCCTGACATACGTGCATCATAGCATCGCATGCACAACTACTGATAGTTTGTGACCCAACTCACCATGCCCACCACATCTTCAAACCATCACCCTCTGGCAGGTGACACGGGATTAAGCCAGATATTTTTTGTTCTTTTTTTTGCTCCTCCCCCGGAGAAAATACAGAGGTGCTGCTGAGTTCAGTGCATGTCTAAAAGCTGCTTTACTCTCCACACTAATGCAGACATTTTGTCAACACACAAAAACATTTTTAAGTTAATTATATTTTCACAAATGCCGTCCAAAGTGTAGATTTCCAAAAACTCCAGATTCTGTGTTTTAGTGAAAACGTGAGAAAAGTTGTGTTTTGATCAATTCCTCTAACTCTAAAGTAGAAAGCGAAAAACTTTATTTGCCAAAATCTTGTACTACTTTTGCTTTAGGAAAGATGTCATGTCAAGTTTGTTATTCATTAAGGGTTTCAAACCAGTGATTCAAAAACTTTTTGGCTTCTGCCTTAATTAAGGAGTGTTTACTTGCAAACAAGGTTGTATATGTCTATGATTTGTGCATCAAAGGGTGAAGTTCTCAGACGGTTTCATTTTAAGGAGAGAGGAAAGAAGGGGCAACATCATTCCAAGTAAAAAACAATGTTGTTTTTTTTAAACTTTCTTATCACATGAATCCTCCCTCAGATTCATCTTGGGATCCCTCAGAGGGAACCTTCAACCCCAGGTTTCAAGCCACTGCTTTAAACAGCTAATTTAATCATCCGGAGTGCTTAATGAATGAAAGTAGAATTAATGATAATGACAATGATTAAAAATGATGTGTTCACACAATACATTCACTGTGATGCTCCCAACATGCATGCAATTAAATCAAGATAAATGAATTCCATTACATTAAGAAGCTGTTGTGTAAGAAACATTAAACATGAAGGGGTTTCCACAGCTACTGAGGAAATTGAAAACCTCTTCAAACATGCAGTGAAAAAGGAACCCGTTATATGAGGACATAACACTGTGTTTTTTTTATTAGGTGAATTGTAATAAACAGTTAAGAAGATTTAACTGTAAAGTGTTAGTGGGGTAATATCATCCAGTTGATCTGTATTTACAAAAGGTTATTACAAGTTGACATGAAAACATGCAAATACTTCGTGTACACTTGTGATAGCACATTGGAAAGTTTTGGATTTGACTAACACATTTAGATAAATCAAGCTCATAAAAAGGTCACATCACTATGATGTCATCACGTGATTGCATCAATTTGGTTGCTCAGAAACTGAGTTGTATAAAACTGAGCTGTATGTTGAACTTTGATGTGCAATTGTTTTGTCATCTGCTGTGTCAAAGGTCAAATGGATTACAGGAGATGATTGTGGCTGCTATAGACTTTTAACATATGTTGTGGACAGTCAGGCTAACAATGCGTATTTATTTTCTCAGAGGTCTTTTGCCCTGGACATTATAGCAGAGACAGGAAAGGTCGCATGTCGTCCTGTTACCGTAAATAAAATGGGAGATTTTACATTTTGGATAATGTAAGTACATAGGTCAACTAATTTTTTTGTTTAAAGAATTGTAACAGACATAGACACAGACATTTTGACACAGCAAATAATCTGTGCAATGGATATTTGTTAAAGCTTGCTAACATAACAGTGCGAGCGAGAGAGAGAATTGCTGTTTTTGTGCCGTGCTGGGATCAGGTCGTGTGTTTGTGCCCTGCTCTCTTAATTGCCTCATCAGTAAATGTCACCTGTTCAACTAGCGCCGCCATCGAGATTTATTTATTCATTTGTGCTCCTTCAGATGCAAGTACTGCTGCTGCATGCTGCAATTACTGCTGCACCGCCAAATGTGCCAATGAATAATAAATCAAAACACAAAGAGATCTAACAAGCCGTCTGTGAACCATGATGCCAACTGGAAGAAAAACTTGCAGTAGATGGTGTTTACAGTGGAAACATTCTCTTTAACAAATGAAACTGCAGGATGCTCGGATGGCCTCTCAGAGAAAACAGCAGGAACTCTAATGGCGGTCTTAAACTGGTTATTTCCCATGCACACACACACACTCACACACACACACACACACACACACAGACACACACACAGATCCGGATAAGCATGCATGAATCAGGGGATTTGCATGGATCCTCACAATGTTGCCATGAAATGATGCAACCAGAGACACAGGCTCCATTGCACACACACTGTTCCCTCAAAGTGAAGCTAAATAACGGGATGTTTGGAGGACGATGACTCACACACAATCATTGGTGTGCTCACAGACTGTGACTGAAAAATGGAGAGTGTGAGTGGGCTGTGGGGAAGAGTGTTTCCAGCCCGGAGCAATATGCTAAGACCCCTGCACTGAGAGGTCACCCACAGTCATCTCGACAGACACCCCTCCCCCAGCAGCTCAGCAGCCCCTTTGTGAAACACTGGATTCAGGTGCTTATCACCAGTGTCCAGGTGTCAGTCAGCAACATTTCATTAGACTGCAGCGCTTTGTAGTGGGACAGCGAAAAAGGAATTTCACAGTCAGAGAGAGAGAGGGGTGCGTCACCAGGTGTGAGAAAGTTAGTGCATGTATGCTGTGAATGAAGTGTGTACTGTGTTTAGTTTACGTGAATAAAAATGCATCCTGTACAGCTGCAAAGTCAGCACCCTCATTTGTATGGACCATAGTCACAAATCACAATTTGCCTCATAGGGCTTAACAAGGTGTGACATCCTCTGCTCTTAACCCTCAACAAGAGCAAAACTACCCAAAAAACATATTAACGGGGGAAAAATTGCCATATTCTTAGGAAAAGACAGTGTCAATGGATAGATTTATAAATAATGTTGCAAGAGTTAAAGCATGTAGACTAAGTTTGACAGATGAAGTGAGCAGCAGTGAAACTGTAACGATAGCAGTATTGCCAGTAATTGTAGTAAATGTAAGTAGGTATAAAAACAATCTGTATCATGATCCACGATCATAAGGAAATAAGGAGCAGAAATGTTAGCTAGTAGCTAGCCCCTTGCTAGACGCTTTACTCAGTGTTATTTTGCAATGTCTCGATGTGTGTTCACAGTGACACTATGTCAGAGTGCTTTGGTTAAAGATTTGAGTGTAAAGTAATGGACTGTTCTCAAAAGGAATAGTCACTATCTGATCTACGCAAGTGAAGGAGATCCAGGGACTTTTTTTCTGTCTCATGACGCACAAGAAAGTCATATTCATTTTGCAGTCACGTAGCCGTGGTCAAATTGTCATCCACACGTCTCACCCAACCAAAAATATGTTCCCTCAGTTTTCTGTAGACACAAAGCTGAGCCCTCCCCTCTATGAGAATAAAGGCAATTCTGTGATGCCATGAAGAAGGTGGGTGAGGCTAAAATCCCTTCTGCTGTTTTCTGAGCACACGTACTGTCAGCTCTTTTAAAACCAAAACACTG